TCAGATGGTGGATGAGGTGGGGGCTCAGAGAGGTGAATTAACATACCCAAGGTCACACAAGAAGTAGAGGACCGAACAACCCAGACCCAGGCCCCCTGGCAGGGTCCTTCTGCTCCTGCTCAAGCTTGCCCCAAAGCCTGAGGGCAACATTCAACATGTACCACATGGCAGGCCAAGTGCCCATGCTGCACACAGCAGGTGCTCAATTCATGTTTTCTTGAAGGAGAGGCGCTGTACAAGGTGTACTCTTACAGATGAAGGAACGGAGACCCGGAGGGTGATATTTCACAGGCTAGCTACTCTAGCTCCAGCCGCCAAGCTCCTAAGCACTGAGGGACCCACCTCTGCCTGAAGGCAATCAGTACCAACAAGTCTGAGCACCTACTTGGTGCCCAGCTCTCCTCTAAGAGCTTCCCATGGATGAATTCAATAGCGTACCCCAAAAACCCCATGAAGGGATACTAGTGTGACAGCCATGGGCAGCGAGTTAGCAGTAAGGGTGGGAATCCTAAGAAACAGCCCCCACAAGGGTGCTTCCTGTCCACAGACAACACAGCAAAGAACTGTGAACTGAGGCCGCAGGGGCTCGTGCTCACGTCACCTGAGCATTCGCAGCCCTCTCCGGAGCACACCCACGGGCGGGCAGTGGACTCCAGCGCTGGGCTCCAGCTACATGCCTGGGCCGCCCTGCCTGGCAGCAGCACAAGCCACCCCCACTCTGAGGACAAAGAGGCCACTGTCTGCTTTTGGACCCTTCCCGAGACTTCTTCTTGTCCCTCTGTTCCTTTTGCCCCCTCCTGTTTTCACCCTGAGCTCCAGGGCACCGGGGCAGGAAGAAATAAACAAGGATGAATGTGATCAGATTTCATGATGAAAATAGAGGAGAGCTGGAAGAACTGGGGCAGGGTGCTTAAATATTTTTGAACCTCAAATCTAAAGGCAGCCAGCCTCCACCACTACTCCAGCACAACACAGCAGCTAAGAACAGACTCTAGAGCCCTGCCCCTCCCTGACTTTGCATTTTTAGGCAAATGACCTGCCCTATTTGTGCTTTGGTCCATCAGTGATCAAATGGGATTAGTAAGCATTCCTTCCTTACAAGACTGTGACAACTCTAGAACACTGGTATGGAGTGGGAGGTGGGTATTATGACAAGCTGCATTAGTTAGCTATTGCTGTGTAACAAATTACACCCAAAGTTACCAACTGGAAATAACAAACATTCATTACCTACAGTTTCAGGAATTCAGGAGCATTTTAGCTATGTGGTCTGGCTCTGGCTCTCTTGTAAATCAAGGTGTTGGCTGGGCCTGTGGTCATCTCAAGGTTTCACTGGGAAAGAATCCACTTCCAAGTTCACTCATGTGAACTCTCCAGAGAGCTGCCTTACTGACTGCCATGTAAGGGACCCACGAAAGAGCACCCCAGATGGAAGCCACAGTCTTTGATAACCTAATCTCAGAAATATCCTACTGCTTTTGCTATATTCTGTTCATCAGAAGTGAATCATTAGCTATGCAACCTATATTTGCCTGTAAAGTCTTTGCCACTTTGGTTAAATACATTAGTATTGTTTCACAGTGTCCTATGACCCTATATGAGCAAGTGTTTTTAAACCTTTTAATATTTTTTTACAAACTTCCCAAAAATGAAATTCTCAAAGAAGTCTTTTTGACCTCAAACTAACTTTAGGATTTTTTTAGAGAGCCCCTAGCATATTGCAAAAGATTTTTTTCTCTCTTCTCATAAAAATATAGATGTTAAACTAGTTAGACTTATTTGATATGTTAAATTACATGTGAAGAAGCATTAAGAAGTAAAAATACTAAGCTTTCTTTATATTGTATTTATATAGGTATATGAGTATTTTTAAAATTATATGATGTTCCTAGAAATATAATATACTCTAGTATCTGGTAATGTTGTGATAAAACATTATAATACATATAGTGATATTCTATTTATAATAATAATATAATAATAACTGATAATATTACCAGTCATAATTCTAGTTACTGTCTTAGAGTGCTATGTGTCATAGAAATAACCAAATTTCCCTTTCAACTACACTGTAATGAACTCTAATCAGATCTTTAGCCATGGCATTTTAAATCTTTTGACATTTACAGACAGTTACTGCTTTTCTCTGAGGTTTTTCCTAAAGTGTTTCTACAAGAGTGTTCCTTCTTGAGAGAAATTTCTAAAAAGGATTCTGACAAGTACTCTAGGATACAAGTTTATGGTAACTTTCAGATCGTAACATTAACTGGGTAAGGATTTATAGAACTCTAAAGAAAAACTAGATTCATAAAACTGCTAACAAAAGATGAAGATCAAAAACTAATTGCATAGGACTGAATGCACTGATGAAGATGATTATAATTTTTTATGGTTTTTTGTTTAAAACATTGCTGGTTCTTTTGTGTTTCGTTTTTCCAGGTTTAAGGAAATCCTCTTACCTTTTCTCTTAAAAGCTTTCAGCAATTTGGTAATAAACATTTGTGAACTAAAAAAAAAAAAAGTGAATCACTAGGTCCAGCCCACACTCAAAGCAAAGGGATCATACAAAGCTATGAAGACCAGAAAGTGCAACCATCTTCCAAGCTGCCTCCGTACAGAAAGTATGCCAAGCTCTGTGTCGGGGATTCAGAGTGGACTCAGCTCCTACCCTGTTCCAGGGGAGACAGGACTGGGCACGGATAGCCCCTGCCCCGCGGAGCAGAGCTGGGGCCTAGGCAAGTCCAAGGAAGGAGGTGGGGAAAGGTCTGTCAGGCAAAAAATATATTCTGTACACCTGCTGGGTGCCACCCTGATGGGAGGAGGCCAGGGCCACAGTGGCACAGTCTGTGCGCCCACCCCCACCAGGCCCACAGGTTAGTCCTAGGGGGAAAGAGACCCCACAATTAAAAGGCAAGAAAGCAGACACACAAGATAATTGTAAGTGACTGATGCTGCTCATGGTTACAAGTCAAGTTCTGGAGCCACACTGTCTGGGTTCAAACCTTGCCCCTTGTATCGGCCAGCTGTGTGACCTTGGGCAAGTGACCAAACCATGCTGCGCCTCAATCCACTCATCTGTGAGATGGGACAAGACAGTACAGACCTCCCAGGGTGGCTGGGAGGACTGGAAGAAGTCATGATTCCCAGGGTGCCTCACACAGACGGAGCCCCGCGTCAATCTTGGCTCTTCTCCCAGAAAGCAGGAAGGTAGGAGGGTCTACAGAGACCCAGGGTCAGGGGAGGGCTGTCTGAGGAGGTGACATTTAACCCATGATGAAAATAAAGAGCAAGGGAACCGTGATCTGGGCAAAGGGAACAGCAAGTGCAAAGGCCTTGGGGCCTGAATAAATAGGAACGTGTTTAGGAATGGCATGGAGGCCAGTATAGTGGGAAAAGTGACAAAGACAGGAGGTGGGGGACAAGGTCAGAAAGCTCACGTGGTCTAGATTCTTAGAGCAACAAGGAGCCATGCAAGAGTGCTGCCTAGGAAAATTCAGCAAAGGTTCCTCTGAGGGAGGCAACATCATAAGGCATCACCAGGTGGAAAAAAAAAAAAGAGGGCCCGTGGGTTTCCCAGGCGGCTCGGTGCTAAAGAATCCTCCAGACACAGGAAACTCAGGCTTGATTCCTGGGTCAGGAAGATTCCCTGGAGAAGAAAATGGCAATCCATTCCAGTATTCTTGCCTGGGACTCCCATGGACAGAGGAGCCTGGTGGGCTACAGCCCAGGGGGTCGCAAAGAGTCAGACACCACAGAGCGACAGAGCACGCACAGGTACATGTTCCAGGCAGAGGAAGAAGCCTGAGCCTGACAAGGCAAGTTGATCTGGGGGCCGGGTGAACCTATGGAGACATGGGGAGTGGCAAGTGGGCAGGCAATAGAATGGCGGGACCCCAAGGACACAGCTAGGGACTGAGTCTTTTCTACTGCAGCGGGTAGAGGTCGGGGAAAGTGTGAGAGCAGAGAGCACCAACCTGAGCCGCATGTCAGAAAACCAGGGGCAGGGACCAGGGTGTAGAAAGGAAAGGACGGGTTCTGAAAGGTTCAGAACCAGTCAGTTAGCAAAGGAACTTTTCCCAACTCCACACCATCCCTGTGGCTCACAAAACTCAGTTTATCTTTACAATGGGTTAGTCCTCCCATCTTCTCATGGGCACCGAGACTGGCAGACCCATGGCAAGTGTTCACGGACTTCCACGTGGAGACTTCCTAAGACTTGCTCTGGTGGAATGCCCAGAAACATTCATTTCACCCCAGAAGGACTCCCAACAGTTGCTCTGCAGGGCCCTCAGAGACAGCCCAGAGATCTTCCAAGGATGCCTGCGGACCCTCCCTAGCGATAGTCACCAGAGACCACTAAGCAAGCCTTGGAATACACAGCAACCTCTTGGCAGGCCTTGAACAACCCCCCAGATCACGCACAGATCTCATACTCTCAAACAGCATTCTACCTACAGAGAGACCTGTACATGGCCCTGAGGAGACAAACACCCTTCAAAGACCCTAAAAACCCTTTACACGTTCCCCAGGAGGCCCTTTCATCTTCCCCGAGAAAGTTTCCCTGACAGCCCGCTAGGGACCTACCAGAGTCCCTGAAGAGTCCGCAGTCCTCCCAGTCACCAAAGCCGCATAGAGACCCCGCCCCCCGAAAACGCACAGCTCCCCCTCCGTCCGTCTCAGCTCTCCGGAAGTCCTACTCGCAGTCCTAACACCTCCAGGCTGTCGGCCAGCTGCCTGAAGTCACCCACTCAGTCTCCAGGGCATTGAAACCAACTCACCTCCCACCAAAGACCCCTGCAGGTGCCCTCAGAGTCCCCAACCCGCTCTTTTCCGTCCCAGCACCGCCCCTAGCCCCGCCCTCACCCAAACCCCGCCTCCCAGTCTCCAAAACCTCTCTCCCCTGTCTTCACGCCGCCCTTGCAGCCCACCTCTCTTCGACCCCGTGGACACTCAGCCCGCCCCCGACCCCAGCCCCTGGATCAGGCCCGGGCTGCACTCACAAGAGGTCCCGCCTCGCGGTTTTGCAGACGATGCGCAGGAAACGCCAGCCGCCGCCGCCTACGTACACGCCGAGCGCCGCCGCCGTGCTCCAGGTCCACGGCAGCCCGAGCAACCATAACAGCACCAGAGAGGCCACGGAAGCCGAACCTGCACCTGGAGCCCGCATCCTGGGGAGGCGGAGAGCTCTGAGGCCGCGGGCAGCCCGGGCCCAGCCTCACAACCGACCCAACCCCGCCCCCAGGTCGAGCTCCGCTCCCGCTTCGAGCCGGGCCCCACCCCGATGTCTGGGATTGGACGTGTCTCTGACAGGCTCCGCCCCGTCCCAGACCTCCCTGCTTCAAGCCCGGCCCAGGCTTTTCTGCCAATCATTAGTGTATCTCCACGCCCCCGACACAGTCTTCTGTTCCGTCAGTCACTGGCGAGCCCCGCCCCATGCGTCGATTGAGCGGCGGCACCCTGAACCCAAGCTCCACCTTAACGACTTACCCACAAGCCTAGGCTCCACCTTGGCCCCACCACAGACCCTGGTCCTGGGCAGCCTTCCTCTAGGTCCCGCCTCTACCCGCCTCCGCCACTCACTTGGCCCCGCCCCCAGGTTGGGCCTCTGGCCCCGCCCGTAAACGCCAAACACTGTTCCAGAGCCCCGCCCCCTCTAGACCAGGTTCGGCCCCTAGGTTAGTCCCATGGCCCCACCCCGCTCTGAATCAGGCCCCGCCCCTGGGGCTCAAGCCCCGCCCCCAGCCCTGGGTTTAGCTGGTATTCCCAGGCTGAGTTCCACCCCGGCTACCGACCCCGCCCTCAGGCTTTGGCAGTCACCACCCCCCGGGCCCACCTAGTACCCTAGGCCCCGCCCCACCTGCTCTCCTAGACCAGCTCTCTTCCGACCTGACTTAGAGCCCCCCCTGCGGCACAGCAGAGGCCCGCCCCGTACCGGAGGCCGGGACCATAGAGAGGGGTTTCTGGCCAGAGTGACGACTGCCAACGAGACCCGGGGGCTAGAACGCCCTGGCAAGGACAGCTGTGGTCTCCAAGACCAAACTTCGCCAGGCTCCCAGCTCCCCTCCCAGCCTGGTAATTAGGAAACTTGTGCGTCCCTCAGCCAAGAGGCGTGGCTCCCCGGCGCTTCTGGCCCAACCCCTAGATGGCAAACTGAATTCTAACCGCCCGGGGACTATAAAGTCCCAGTTTATACTCAGGGCCTACCTGTACTGGGTTTTGGCCCAGCTTGTCCTAAATCCAATCTTTAATGCCTCTTCGGTTTTAAACAGATGTTCCAGGAACCTGAGGAGCCCTAAACTCACAGCTTAGGGGCCCCAGAATATCCAACCCCTGGGTGGTTGGTTTAGTCACTCAGTCGTGTCCGACTCTTTGCCACTCCGTGGACTGTAGCCTGCCAAGCTCCTCTGTCCATGGGATTCTCCAGGCAAGAGTACTGGAGTGGGTTGCCATTTCCTTCTCTAGGTCTTCTTGACCTAGAAATCAAACCCAGGTCTCCTGCACTGCAGATTCTTCACCAACTGAGACTGATCTGCGAGGGAATCCAACCCCTATCTCAGTCTTAAAGGGACCCAACTAATCCCAAATACGAATGAGTCTCCAAATCTTGTGAGTTTAGTCTCAATAACACCCCAGCTGCCCAGGGAAGAAAAAAAATCCACACACCAGGTCCCCATCCTTCCACAGGAAGCTCCACAGAGTCCTTTATTTGCATTCCAGAGTCCTAAATGCTCACCTAGAGACCCTAAAGCCCTACAACTGATCAGGTGAGGGCTAGTGCTATCCTCACTGCTCACCACCTTGTTCCCTGGCTGACCTGGAGCCGTTCACGGATCCTCAGGCTTTGGCTGCTCGGTCGTGGGCTCCCAGACGCTCAGGCAGGAGGCGGGCACCGACAGTGAGGCCAAGACAGAGGACCTCCCCTTGGGGCTTCTGGTTCTGCAGCCTCATGGGGCCTGCTGCGATTGCATTGTGCCCATGTGGGCTTCTGCTTTGGAACCCTCTCTCCAAGCTCCCCCTTCCTCTGCCCTCCTGCCTATCCCACCCCTGCTTGTTTCTTCCCTGCTTGGCCGACCTTCTCAGCTCTCTCCTTGGGAGGCAGCCAACGTCTGCTTCCAGCACCATTTAGAGAACAGGACTGGGCAGGCACTCCCCCCTCCCCATGCTGCCATTGGTCCCTGCAGGCTGCCTAGGGTGGGTGAAATGGGGACGAGGAGACAGATCCGGAGGACAGGCCCGGAGCCAGCCATTGGTCCCTGACTTTCTCAGCTAGAGATCAGCAATGCCCAGAAACTTCAGCAGCTGCTCTTTTCCTTCCAGATAGCACTATTGTGATCACCCCATTTTACAGGTAAAGAAACTGAGGCTTGATGCTGTTGCACTAGCTGGAGTTGAGATTCATTCTTTCACAAATGTGGGCAGAGAGCTTGCTCCCCTTCCTCCCCTTTCAGTCTTCCTTAAACTTCTCCCTCTTCTCCATCTTGCCCTGATTCCCCCCACCCATCTCTCTCCCCCATTCTCCTTCCCTTCTTCAAGTTTTCCGCCCCCTCCTTTAGCCTTCCTCCACTCCCCCTTTGCTCACCTTCTCCTCTTCCAGACACTCCTCCTCCCTTTCTCCTCCCATCCTGTGGCCTTCCCTCCTCCCCCCTTCTTCTTCCACTTTCTTCTCTCTCCTCCTCCCCCCATCTTTCCAAGTTTACTGAGCCCTGACTAAATATCAGTAGTACACATGGGACTTCCCTGGTGGTCCAGTGGTTATTAAGACTCTGTGCTTCCACAGGGTTCATCCCTGGTGGAGCAACTTAAGATCCCACATGCTGCATAACAATCTCTTCTAACTCCTCCCATGGCTACCGGAGACACTCTTCTGGTCTTCAGTCAGCAATCCCCAAATCCTAACGGCTCTGGAGCTCCACCTTTTTCTTAAGATGGTGCCAGTACTCCAGTGGAGGGACCATTTCCCTAGCACTGACCCAAGCTGTTTTCAGTGAGCAGGGTTCTTTTTTTACCCTTGCTGCTGCTGCTAAGTTGCTTCAGTTGTGTCCAACTCTTTGCAACCCTATAGACTGTAGCCCACCAGGCTCCTCTGTCCATGGGATGCTCCAGGCAAGAATACTGAGTGAGTTGCCATACCATCCTCCAAGGGAGCTTCCTGACCCAGGCATCGGACCCAGGGATTGAACCACCTCTCTTACGTCTCCTGCATTGGCAAGCAAGTTCTTTACCACTAGCACCACCTGGGAAGCCCTTTTTTATCTCTTTACATAAGGGCTTCCACATACCCCCGGGGACATCACACAACACCTGGGAGCTTTTCCTTCCTAAGATCTGAATGATTCCCAGTTCCAAAAACAGCAGTTCTCCATGGTTCCAGATGACCAGTAAAGGAACAGTCCTGTCCCCATTGCACAGAAGGGGAAACTGAGACCTAGACAAGGGGACCAGAACTCAAACTTCAGCGTCAAAGCAGGCTCTGAGCCTCTCCAGTGGGGTGATCTTGGGTGGGTCACCTCTCACCTCTGCACATTGGTTGCCCTCTGGGTGATCACCTCCCAGGGCGCCATGCACAAAGTTTTGTGGGGGCTTCTCATCTGGGGGATGAACAGGTACACAGTAGGTGGGGGAGACAGAAAGATAGGTGTCTCCCTTCCCCAGGTAACCACAGGGGTCTGGAGCCCTCAGCAGAGGGCATTATTGGAATTTTCTGGCAGAACGAGAGAAGTGAAGCATAGGTTGAAATAAAATAAGTGGACCGTCACAGCATGGGAATTGCACTATAAATAGAACATGAGCACTGTGGGGGAGGGAGTAGTTTCTCTCAGCCAAGTTCAAGTGCCCACCACAGTAGAGGGATCAGTTCAGTGGGGATGCCATAACAACATCCTACAGACTGCGTAGCTTAAAATAACAGGAGTGTGGAGTAGGAAATGGCAACCCACTCCAATGTTCTTGCCTGGAGAATTCCATGGACAGACGAGCTTGGTGGGCTACAGTCCATGGGGTGGCAAAGCATTAAACACGACTGAGCGATTAACACTTTCATTATCCTGAAAATAAAGGTGATGTCAGATGCAAAAAAATAAAAAAATTAAAAAAAATAACAGGAGTGTATTGTCTCACAGTTCTTCCTGAAGCCAGGCTCAGAAATCAGTGTCAGCAACTTCACTCCGTCTGGAATTTCTAGGAGTCCTTTCTTGCCTCTTTCAATTTCTGGTGGTTCTGACCTCAGGTGTTCTCAGCGAGCAACAGCCTGAAGCAGAGCTCGGCTTCCCAGCTGGAGATTGAGGCCGGGTCGGTGGGAGACCACCAAATCTTAGCCAGTGGACTGGTGGTCAGTGACAAGGCCCTGGCCCTTCAGCTTTGCAGAAAAGAGTTCCCACAAAGATGGAAAGTAGTGAAACAAGGTATTTATTAAGAGAAAAAGAGTACGGTACATGTGGATATTCATTGGAAGGACTGATGCTGAAGCTGAAGCTCCGGTACTTTGGTCACCTGATGTGAAGAACTGACTCCTTAGAAAAGACCCTGATTCTGGGAAAGATTGAAAGCAGGAAGAGAAGGGGTTGACAGAGAATGAGATGGTTGGATGGCATCACCTACTCGATAGACATGAGTTTGAGCAAACTCCAGGAGTTGGTGATGGACAGGGAAGCCAGGCATGCTGCAGCCCATGGGGTCACAAAGAATTGGACATGATAGAGCGATTGATCTGACCAACATGTGGATAGGCACATGGCCAAACTCAGAGAGAGAAAGAGCCGCTGAGTTGCGCCCTTGTGGTAGTTGAATTACTTTTAGGGGGCATTTCTTCTGTGCTTCCTTTGGACAGTCATTTTTATTTCCTGGTTTGCAGTCCGTGTTTGGTATATCTCAGGATCCTCCCATGTGTGCGTACGCATCTCTTAGCCAAGATGGATTCTACTGAAAAGGCATAGAGCATCCCTTCACATCACCTTTGACTTCTAAAGAGTCTTTCTGCACATGTGTGGTCGGGAAGTTCTCCCGACTTCGAGAATAAGAAATATGTGGTCTGGGCAGGGCCCAGCCTCCTCCTTTAATTGTCCTGCAGTTTTTGTCTTGGAGTTTCAGTCCACGGGGAATGAATCCCTGACCCCTTTACTGGGGGGGGGGGGGCATCTACCTCCTGCCTCCAGTTCCAGGCATTCCTTG